TTTCCGTTCAAGCGGCGTCAGTCCCTGGGGACTGACAGTAGACTTTTCGTTTGGGCGGCGTGGATTCTAGGGACTGACAGCGAACTTCTCGTTTGGTCGACATCGGTGCATGAGACCAGCATTTTAAAGGGTTAAATTATTAATGACAATGAAAAAATTTACGTTAAAATTTAGTGTACTCCCGTGGCTTTTTCAGACTGATCGTTTCTTGGTGTTCGCACTTTTGTCTCTCTGGCATTCCCCACCCCATTATCTTATGTTTATACATTGTATACATGTGCATTGCCTGCACCATTGTCAGAGTGCAAACGTCAAAAGAAACAGTGGAAAAAAGGAATCGTCTGTTGCGCTGTGTCGCGCGGTCTAGTTTAGCGTTCGGCATCGAATGCTTACGCGCTGCCGTCTGAGCGGAAATTACAGCAAAATCGACGTCGCACTCAACGTGTTAAGCAGAGCACGAGGAAAATATCTACAGACCTCTCCAAGGATCCTGAAGAGGGAACTCTTCCCGCAACCGTTAGGCCCGCAGACCAGCACGTTCACTCCCGATTGTACTTCGAACGTTAACTCCCTGACAAGAATGTCACCGTTCGGCGTTATCAATGGCACACGATCGAAACGTATAATGTTGTCTTTGGTCAAGATCTTCCCTGCGCCTGGGCTCCCGATCGAGTCGTCCTTCAAGTCTGTGACCATTGTTCTGGTGTACTTGCCCGCGTTCAGATCGTCCAGAACAACCTTTATCTCCGTGACCCTGGCCGTGAATCCTGCCAGCCGGGTCAATTCCCTTCCGGCCAACACCAGCCTGCCTATAGCTTCGGCTAACTTCACCAGCATGCGGCCGTACGTGTAATAATTTTTAAATCGGTGGTCGGCGCTACCCGATAAGGTGGGATGATTCGCTTGGAAAAACGGCCGGCTCACCGCGTAGAAGCCGACGATCATAGCGAAATCTAAAAGAAGAATATTATTTTTTTAAGGTCACGCCGGTCCTGAGACGGGAACGCACGCGTACAAAGAAGCCGAGAGTTTACGTTTTCCGACAAAGTTGTCTATCACTCCTATCATCGCTTTGAACTCGAAGCATTTCCGCAGATGCGTCACCTATAAAGATGAGAACGGGGATGTAACGTGTAACGTGGATTGGATTCAGAGGACATTCAACGTGCGCCGTTTACTTACCAGTTTATAGAAGCTGGCTAATAAAGTGAGTCGCTCTCTGTTGTTCCCTTGATAAAACGCGATCTCTTCTGAATTTGTAATCAATCGTGAATTAATGTGACGGTACTCGCCCTCGAGCCGTTGCTCTTTCACGGTCATCGAGCCAACGGGTTTACGTAGATGCGTTACTACCATACCAGCAAATAGAAGGTACGAAAGCATGAGTATCGGTGTCTACAATAGTACAATATGCAACTGTTATACAGAATGGACGTACGAGCAGGGAGAATGTTTCAGGTAACATACTTGACCACCAAGGTTAGTTGTCAGTCTAAAAACATAGATAAATATGTCCAACATAGGTTTCGCAACATTGCTATACAGATCTATACAACTGTCGCAGAATTTATCAACATCGGTGGTTAACAATTGGTCCGGATTCGCTATTCGGCTATCTAAATTACTCATTTTGTAGTATGTGAAACCCCTGTAACAAGTAGCCGTGTATCATTATGATAGTTTAATTGGAAGTGACATTGCGCTTCACATTTATTTGTACCACCAAGTTGACCACTTATTATGTAAGCGGCTTGAAAACTCACTTCAGGTACTGATCCATTAGATTTCTTGTGATATTTGTGCGTAACCTCAGCTTCATTTCGTACAACGCGTACTTTAGTACATTGTTCACAACGGAGACCTAAATAAATATAATTTAGAAGATTGTATCAATAATTGTTTCCAACCGATAAAAAGATATAACTGCACGGCAGGCTGAGTAGAAGAATTTCATTAGCAGCCTGTGAAAATTAAGTTATGACTATGTCTTTTCTATTACACGAATTCACTTACCACAGGTAACACGCACAAGAAAGAAAGTAAACGCTTCTTAAACAGATGCGCATCCATATTAATGATCGATCTACCATAAAGAAACAAGTAAAATTTCATGATTAGGTGCATACGTTTTTCGTAGCTTCATTTGTCTTAATAACAAGTAGCACGTACGTTTCGATTAATGTTCCTTTGTTTATCATCCACAGATCACAGAATGACCTTGCAACCAACGAACCGGCGACCAGAACAAAGAATCCAAACTCTGGGGACACGATAGACGGTATACCAATCCTAAGTAACTGGCATAGTTGACGGAAGAACTTTGCGTTAACGTAAGCTTTCGGACGTTTTGGCTTCTCCTGAGAATCAATAGTATGCGTACAAGTGAATGGATGAAAAGTCAGTTAATTATTACATGGTTTTTCTACACTCACTTGTGTGATGACATACTGTATATCATGAGCGGGCCATGCGTTCCTGTAAAAACAAACAACCATGAGTATTCGGACGACATCGACGAGGTGCGTGTACGCGGTTTCCCGTTTACTTGTTCCTTATGACGTGCTTTCTTCCTCTTCTTTTTAGAATCCATATTAACGCGGTCAACGCGCAAGCACCAGCAATCGTGCGCCTGGTCGCGAATTTACTAAGTGCAGGCGCCATTCTGTCTAATCGGAGAAACTTCCACTACAAATTCACCGTCTTCCACGACGGTCGAAACTCTTCTGCGTCCAGTTTTGAACCTCGTTAAGGTGAACAGGTGGTGGGGTAATACTCAGCAGTGAATCAGCTATGCGGCAACGAAATGACGTTCCTCAAACATTTCGCTGCGAACCAGTCCCGGTTTCCGTGCTTTCACCTACTCTAACCTGATCTTCGAATTGTCTTATATCGTCTGCGCTCTATGTGCACAATCATGTCCCGCCAATAACTGTCGATGATCAAAGTACAAAAAATACTTCTCCCAGACGTGGTCTCATTATGTAATCTTACACCGATGAACTTTGATACTATGTTGTCCAAATTAATAAACATGTACATACACAATGGTATGTGTGAGGCCACTCTTACAAATGAAATCCAAATGGGAAAGCTTATAAATATTGTGATTAAGAATTGTTTTTAACGATAGCGCACTACAACAATTTAATTTTTCTTTATCTCTACTCTGAGAATCTTCTTTTTTCCGTTTTTGTCATTTCTCTGTTTAACGTATTCCCGTGAACGATAAGAAGATACATTTGATAAGCGAGTATCTTAGGTTTTTTGCGCAATGAAGAAGCAATTTAAAAGACGAACCAGACTTACGAATATTTTCAAACCATGAAAATATATAAGAGACTTGACCACCTTGTTACGTCGATATATATATTTCATTGCATTATTTTTCCATGGACTTTTTCTTTTTTTTTCTTTTTAGATTACTCGTTTTTAATGCGTCTCTGCAAATTCTCTTTATCAATCAAGCGTGACTGAAGAGGATAGATTAGATCGTTAAATCATTATATTATAAAAATACACGCGATAAATAAAATAATCACACATTTCATACAAACGGTAGAACATTTTTATTAAATAATTATTTAAGCACGTTACACGACAACGTACGAATACTTAAATACGAATGAATCCTTTTGTTATTTACTATATTTGTGCTGACTACTGTCATGTAACGCATTAGGTTTGTAAAGTAATTGTTTTTTTTATTTTCATAAATATTATCTATAATATAAATAATTTATTGAAAATAACTGTTGTTCGCGAAGTCTCCAGCATTTGTTCGGTTTCGTTAATGTATATTCATGGTTATTCAATGATAAATTGAATTACTTTAACATAGTTTATAGTGTAATGATATGCAAATACTTGAAATGGCATTCGAGTAAGATATATGTAAATGAACGGTAAATTATTTATTATCGCTATTATTTCCAACTGATTATAAAACAATTGATTATCACTGGTGTTTATTTTTAGATTATATTTGAAAGTTAAAAGCATCATCGGACACAGCTAGGACACGACCTCTTATCACAGTATCTCAAAAGGTAGATGGCACAAACTATCATTTCATTCGATGGGAATTATGTATACATGTTTGTTGAAGTGTATCATTTTCTTTTATAATACTTTTATATTTCAGAACATTTTACAACTATACAAATATCTTTTAAAAAATAATCTAGTGCACCTTTGACACACACACCCAGTATATCAGCAGAAGATTAATATTTCCTCGTGTTATCATTAGGCGAGCAATATAAGTCAAACGTGAAATGACTCATTATTATTTCTCCAACATCAGATTAGTTGTTACTATCCAAGTAAGTTCCGGTTTGCCTACTACTGCCACGAGGCTCATCTAGAAATAAGAATCGATTAAGGTTTGTTAAGAGAACATTAAAGAACCAGAATGTACAAATGATATACAAATGATATGCTTACAGGAAAAAAAAGACACAAACCTTCTTAGATCACCTTTTTTACACTCTCCATAAATTTTGCATTATTTATTCATCGTTAATGTCCGTGCACGTTCTTCTGTGTCTACAGAGTTTTATTGGAGTCAGTTTCTTATTACCGAATGCCTGTTCTTCTGACTGTTAACTGCAACCATTGGCATACAAATAACCAATCCACTTGAGCTTAGAGATTGCATTTCAGTCAACTGAGCTGTTGAACAGAATGATATGTAATTAGTAAGTAATTCAATGGGAATGCAATTCCATAATTTGTTTCTTCTGATTCAGTAAGAAAACGGATCTTACAAGTAACAAATGTTTTTTTCTTTTTCAGGTATATGTATTTGTAGTATACTTTTCCAATTGTTTTTTTCTTTTTTCTTTTGTTTTTTTAATGATCTACTATATTTGGTTTTGCGTTAACTTGCTAATTAAATACGTGCAACGTGAGAGCTTGAGTCCACTTCGTACGAAGGATTATTCAATTACCGATCATTAATATTAATTCTTACAAACAGTTACAATATAACTTCCTTGCCTTTTTCCGTTTACTTTGTATAGTAATCACAATTGAATAATACTTCGAGGTGAAATAATTAAAAGCAATTTAATTTCAGTTAATAGCGGGATGAATGAGCGATTAATGAATCGTAATGAACAATTTCCATTAGATAAACAGAGTCAACTTAGCAACAGCAAAAACGTATCACTCTAGTTGACCGATCTCAACAATGATCGAGGGATGAAGCAACATTTTATTTGATTTTTTTTTCTTTTTTTTTAGGTTTCTTTCGTCTTTAATGATAATTCAATGTTAAC